GTCGCCTCTCTGTTTTGCTTCTCTGCTTCCGTCTATCCGACTCTGCTTTCGTCCTTCCCAAGCTACATCCTACGCCGTTGCTGGAGATCATCGAAAACAAAAGTACACCTATTTCTGGTGGCTGATAGTCGATCAACCTTGTGAAACATATTTGTTTACTTCGGCTTAGCCTACCAAACCACAACAAATCAACAAAAGATATCGTAAAGCAATGCCTCTATCGAATCGGCGCCGCGCGCGGCGCAAGGAAATCCAACTGCAGGAAACGTCTGACGCGGAGGCCCCGGACTCGTCGCCATCTCGGCCATCGAATAAGAAGCGCAAGGTCAGTGACTAAACTGAGGCTATTTTTTTTGCGATCGGGATGAGTTTGTTTGCTGAATCTGCTCCCTCAGGTCGATCACCGTCCGTCCCCTCCTGCCCGTCCCGTCAAAGCGCAAGAATCCGCCGATGAGGCCGACGACTCGTCCCCCGAAAATGAACTGTCCGCCAACCAGGATCTGGTAGACATGGTCATATCCTGTCTGAACGTCGCCCGGGAGGAAGTGCGCGTTGCACGGGACCACTCGAACCAAAAGACCGAGAACACGCAGAGTATCCGCGCATATGCGAAAATCGCCGGCCGCAACTGGACATATTACGTCAAAACCCTGCATGTCAATATTGGACGCGAACCGGATCGCGAACCGAAGCTGGATGAGCAGTCGAGTCCCGTCACGATCGCTGCAAGGGCCCTCCCGGATGTTCATGTCGATCTGGGTCCGAGCAAGTTCGTCTCTCGTTTGCATGCGGAGATCTTCTATGACGGCGGGGAGACCCCTTCCTGGCACATCCGCGTCAATGGCCGCAATGGGGTCCGGGTGAACAACGTCATTCTGAAGCGTGGGACCGATGCGATTATCTCCTGCGGCGACATCGTCGAGATCGCCAACACCCAGATGATGTTCGTCACTCCTGGAGACAAGGCCAATATCCATCCTAGTTTTGTCGCGCGCGCGCAGCGCATCGCCAATGGTGAAGAAGAATTGCTGTCGTGGGATCCCACCCAGCACTCGCATCCCCAGCCATCGCAGTCGAGCGCCGTGATGAACGATCAGACCTCAGCGACCGCTTCAGCCGGCGCCAGCGGTCAGCCATCGCTTGCTCCCGCCCCGCAGTTCCTCAAACGCCAGGTGACTCCCCCGCCGCGTTCGCCAGACACCGTCGGTCCGCGCACCGCCAAGCAGTCGCCGCTCTATAACCGCGGGATGATGATGGAAAGTACGGAGGAGATTGACTACAGCAAGGACTCGGCCAAGGATTTGAAACCGCCATATAGCTACGCCACTCTGATTGCGCAGGCGATCTTCTCCAGCGAGGAGGAGAAGCTCACTCTGAACAGCATCTACAATTGGATCATGGACAAGTACGCTTTTTACCGGCATTCTCAGAGCGGATGGCAGGTAGGTCATCTTCATTTTTTATTCACCGACGCTTCCGGCAACTGACAAGACTTCAGAACTCCATCCGTCACAATCTATCGCTGAACAAGGCGTTCCAAAAAGTTCCTCGTCGTACGGATGAACCAGGAAAGGGAATGAAATGGCAGATTGCCGCCGAGTACCGCGAAGAGTACTGGAAGAAGCAGCTCCGAAAGGGAACTACGCAATCATCCGCGCCGTCGTCGCCCGCCACGAAAGAGCCTGTGGCGCGGGGGGCTAACAGCCACTCCGAAAACGTCTTCAACGGCAAGAAATCGCCAGCGGTGTCCTCCCCCGGATTCAGCTCGTTCCCCGTAGCACCCGTTGAGGCCTACACGCCAGAACGGGGCTCGCGGATCGCTCGTGGTGCCGACCATCCTCTGCGCAACACCAGTGCTCGGGATTACGAGGAGCCTTCTCCGTTGCCTACACGTTCTGCCACCAAGAATCTTGGGGCCGGCAGCGCATTGACTCGTGCCTATGGACTCTCCGACAATGTGGTGAATTCGCCCCCGGTCCTCTCGTCCTCGTACTACGATGACGGCCCGTCGTCGATGATTACGCCGGCCCCGCAGCGACAGCAGCCTCGACTTCCGCCTCCTAGCACAGCCCAAGTGCCGTCCAAGTTCATGCCGATGAGCTCACCCGCGCAATTCTGGAAATTCGCGGACATTGGCAGCACCCCAGCGCGACCGGTGCCCGACATGAGTCCCCTCAAGGGCGAAGTCGGGGATGGGATCGGGAACTTTCCAAGCAGTAGTCCTCCGCCGCCGAATTTGGTCAGTCCCAGTAAGCCAGGGACATCGAACGGTCTTGGAAATGGACGGACGCTTCCACCCCTGCGAACCGAGCCCGGAGATCTCGGGGAAGTAAGACCGGGACTCAACGGGGTGGTCAAGTCGGAGCGACCGATGGGGCCGGCGGGGCCGGATGCGGATGACGATGACGAAGAAGCAGGATTTGATCTCGCCAGGTTCGTTCCCCTGCTTTGATTTGGTGAAATGACCGAATACTAATGGACTCTATACAGAGGCTTCCAGCCGATTGGATCATACCATCGGCAATTGAGCAATGCCGCTCGCGCGAGTGCAGCGACCTCTTGATCCGCTCGCTAATGGATGACTATGTATTCTATGTTCACCTACGCCGATTGTACTCGACTAAGATTTGCTGGTTCAAAAGTTTGACATGTTGCAAACTGATACATTGCTGTGATGTTTATTTTCTGCTTTGCTTTCGTCTCGTCGGGCTGTGGCAGCACATTCGGCCGTCCGGAGTCTTTCTTTATATGTCCACGGGATAGAAGCCTGGGGTTTTGTTGAGGGATGGATTGATGCATTTACAACAGGAACAAAAGGACCGGCGTTGGGTTGTTGCTTCTTGCTTGCTTTGTCATGTACGGAGTACTGGGGTGGGCCTCTGGACGATGCGACGATCAGGACAAGATGTAATGATATTTGCTTTTATGATTTATCCATTATCTCTATTAGCGCAACTTAAGTCTACTTGACGACGGGCCAGAATCTCTCCTCCAACCACACCACCTGCCGCCACCATTGCACACAGCGACCCATCACATTCTCACGCTCCTCGGCACCCTTGATCTGCCCCGCCAGTTCGTCCACCACATCCCCGATGCGCCGCACAAACGCCTCAAATTCAGGACTCGTCCAGTTAGGTATGAAGCGCGTCCGCAGCGCACCCCCATCGGCGTCCTGCTCCGGGCCCGCTCCAGTTTTCCCAGAAGCCCCACACGACGCCGCAAACCGCCACGCCTGCAGATAACACGCCTCGGTCGCCCACAGCACGACCATCCCCTCCAGCAGACTCGTCGCCGCACTCCCCGCTGACATAAACATATCGATATACGCCTGGGTGACCCGATTCGGGCCAAAGTACGTCTCCTCGGCCCGGGCCTCGCCGCGCACGCACTCGCCCCTCTCCCGCTCCTCGTCCTCCATGGCGACCGGCAACGCCGTCAGATCCAGCCCGTACTCATCCGCCGTGTCCTCGAAGAACTGCAGCTCCGTGCGGATATTCACCAGCGCGTCGATGAGGACCTCCACGGCGCGGTGCTCGACTGTCGAGGTGCGAGGCTTCGAGCTGTCCGGGTTGTGCGCGGGGAGGCGGATTTTGGACAGTAGCAGGCCGATGAAGCGGATGTAGGACTGCGCGTAGAGGCGGTCTTGGGAGAGCCATTGCGAGAGCAGCGGTTTGGGGATCTGCCCGCGGCCGGCTTGTTGGAGGAAGGGGTGGGTGGTTGCGTTGGAGAGGGGGCATGTGGAGATGTTGAGGAGGTGGGCTGTGAGTGGGGTGGTCATTTTGTTTGTTGTTTGTTGTTTGTCTTCGTGACGATAGAGGAGGCGATGTGGTTGAGGTTGTGAAGGGTGGGTTTTGTGGGTGTATTTGGTTGAGGGGCAGGAGGGGCAAAGGTGGTGGGCTGAAGCTTATCATTATCATTATCAGTATCAGTATCATCATGATTATCAGTTTGACGTCAGGCGGCAGTCGGCAACTATACTAGTACAGTCGACTAGTCAGGAACAGATCGCAGCCTCTACCAGTCTCCTCTCCCTCCACACAGCTCTCGAACAGAAGAAGTATGGCTAGACTTTTTCTTGCTCGGCCTTCGAGCCATCGACATACGACCGCATACACGACGGATCTTCTCTGATCCCTCTACCAATAGAATCACGAGCCACCTTGCCATACTAACAAAACGACCAGGCTGACCCTGGGGTTCATGATAATCCAGTTGACTCTGTATCTTCTTTTTTTGGTGGGTTGGCAGGGAGACAAGGTCCTCAATCTTTTGTCACACATGGATCTAGACAACTTGCTATGGAATATTCATCATCTGGTCGTGCTCTGCAAATTTAATTCCACTATACCACAAACACTTGTCTTGCAAAAGCTCTGCTGCGGAAGGCCTATCTCTTAGATCAAGCTTTATTACTTTTAAAACAAACTCCTTGTTCTCCTTGGATATTTATAATCATCATGATCTGCGGGAACGTCTGGTTTGAATATGAAGAAATTGCCTCCATATAGCAAGGTTATAAGCTGGTGCAGAGTCAATGTTGCTTAGCAACTGAAAGAGGTTGGAATGAATATATTAATGCTCTAAAGGACCATATCCTGGATAGCCTTCCCATGCATTTGAGTGGCTGTACTTCCATAGCCTTGATTTATGCACTACTCTTGAAACCGGGTGCAGAAAGGGTTCCTTTCCACTATTCACTTGACTGCATTGACATTTAGCACCCTCAAATGTGGGTATTCTGTCCTTCGTGGAAAAGAAGTCTTGAATGTGTTTGATACACGGGTTGGTGTACTCTAGTCTTCACTTACCAGGTTAGAATTTGAGGGCAACAAAAATTTACCATTCAAAGGCTCTTCGAATCCTAGGAGCTGACGACCTTGCTGGGTAGATGCACTCGATCGCACAATTAGCGTGGGAAGATACTTGGTTTACAATGATATGGGCATTGGGTTATCCCGTTTTTCAAAATTAACATTTAGGCTTGCCCTCACTTTCTTTTACCCATGATGATGCCAGTCTTGAGCTGGGCATTTGTAGCTGGAAAATAATGCCTGAAGTGTTTCCGCTCTCTTGTGCCTCTGGGTATGACCCTGCTGATCCTTAGTATATTGATCACGAGCGCCGTGCGCCAGCTCAACTAGCGAGCCGACAGCATCGCAAATGCCGCGCCCAGTTATAGGCGAGAACTTGGCAAAGAGACAGTCCCACTGGGCTGCAAACGCCTCAGCTTCAGCGTGCAACACAGAGGCTTCACCTTCACCTTCACCCATGGCAGCGATCATTGTCGCAAGAAAGGGGAGGACCCCGTCTTTGCAGCGGTTGCGCATCCTCTTATAGGCGGCGACTACTTCATCCCATGATTCCCTGGATGAGGAATCGTACGTGAAGATGAGACAGACATGCTGCATGAGGCTGGATAAAGCCATGTTAAGACCCCGGGGTGCTGGGTGGGACGAAGCCGACACTATAGATGTAATTATCGCAAAAGTAATCTGTCTCAAAGTTGTCTGTAGGGTCGTCGCCAAATCTCTTCTCTCTCTGGAGTAGCTAATGAACCGCGCAGGGTGAGCTCAACCAGGGGTACTCGGAGCATGTTGCGCTGGTACGTACCCTGTAAAGCTTCAAGTCGTCGGCGGCGCCTTTGGCATTCACCACGATTATGGATATGGACTGTGCATCGGACCAGGGGGGTAGCTCGGTGGGTGACCGCCTCACGTCGCTGAAATGGATGGCGCGAGGGGATGGGTTAACAATTCCGCTCTCTGCTGTCGTGGCTGGCGCTGATGGCGCGGGCTCGCTGCCACGGCTGCTACGGCTGCTACTACCACGGAGCTTGCGGAAGATGATCTTGGCGTGAGACAGCATGGTTGACGGGTGGGTGAGGTGGGTGAAGTGATGTTTTGGGGGGGAAATGTCAGAATTGACTGACCGAGATGCTCCGAGATAGTCTATGGTTAAAGGAGTCAGACAACGCCTTGGAGGTTACAGGGGTCATATAGTGAATAAGCCTAACCCGAACTGATCTATTGGGTTTGACGACTCCACACGTTATTTATGACATGATCTAGACAGCACAGAGGCTGACATGACATATCTAGAGTTTATTGCAATGAGATCCACCAAGGAGCATACACTTGCGGCGGATCTCTGTGGAGCGAGGTAAGGTCTAACGAGATAATTGCCAGCAATGTTCTGTTTCTGCACATGTAACGGGGACAGTAACTAAATAGAACTGTGACATGGGTCATTGCGCTGATAGTAACAGTATTCACGGTAAAAACACTATTGGCATGATCGAATACGAGGGGTACAAGCTGCTACGACAAGTAACATTACCATAGACTGCAGATAGAGCAGAGATCGATCTTAGCCAGCTGTAATCCTATTCCACCGTTGAAGCAACAACGCCAACCTCGCCTGTATCACGGCAGACCATTCGCAGCAGCGCTTCAAGCGTATAGCGAGCATCGTTACCTGCATTGTGTAGGTTCCATCCGATAATTCCTAGTTCACCGAGAATGCCTGCTAATGAGCGCTGGTTTGCCTCACATCGGATGATACGATACAAGTCGGCGGTGTCGATGCGCTCCAGGAAGGCGGTCGTGACATTTTCAAAGACCGGGATGCCCAAACTTGCCAGATACTTGACGTCCATCGAGGTGTTATGACCCACGAGGATCAAGTTGCGCTTCTGATGCTTGTGCTCTGGGCCACGCTTGAGTCGGACACCGTCTGTGCCTTCGATACCGAACGAGTAGGGAGGTTGAAAGCAGGCCTGAACCACATCGGCCAGTTTCCCTTTGGATACCCATTCGCTCTCCCCAAATTCAAAGCTTCCCGGACATCCTGCCACATATTGACGGTTGACAATATGGCCATATTCTCGGACTCGCAGGTGACGGGAACGAATTCTGGAGGTCCAATTCTCTGCGTTCTCGCCGGGAGGGGTGCCAACAAGATCTATCGTGTCCAGAGTTGAAATGCCCACTTCCGTGACCTGTTCATGGCAACGCTCATTGCATTCGACGTCAACGCTGATCAGAATCGGCTCTCTCCAGAGCGGAAACATCGCTGGATGATCCATATCGAGCCGAAGTATCCCAGTGGCACCTGCATTGTCAAGCCTTTGCGCCGAGCTGCAGTTGTCGTTTCGCTTCTCTTCCCAGGATCGTTCGTCAATAATTTCGGGAAGATCTAGGGAGTGGTATGATTGTAGACCAAGGTAGCAATGCATTTTCTTCCGAGTTTGTACCAATTCTGTTTCAGCCTGAAGCCGGATCTGTTGTCTCTTCGCCTTGGAGGCTTTGCCCCTACTCTTGTTTTTCGATGCATTTATTCCATACTCAATCATTTGCTCATACGCAAGACGCGCCTCATCCATATCGGTAGGAGGCTCATAGTTGGTCCGCGGAGGGATGGTCGCTTCCAGTTCCTCTTTCATCTCCCGGCTTGTACACTGACCGATGAATGTCGGTTGAGGGACTCCCTCCAGGCTGAAGTCCAAGAGCATTCCCATTTCGCTCTCCTCCGGAATCGAGAGCGTAACTGCTAGCTCACAGTTCATTTCCTGTACGAATTTCCGGACTTGAGCAGCAGGCACGAGCAACAGTGGACGTGAACTGAGCTGAGGAGAGACGTGGACGTAGTATCTACATTATTTCTTCATCAGCAGACAGAATACAGAGTGGTAATGCCAGCTAACTCACAGATCCCAGACTCTCTGCCAAAACTTCCCTCCGTCGAAAAATTGGCTGGCTACCGTTTGTGACAGTTCTTTGCGGACGAACTTGTAGGGGTATCTAGACATAGCCATAAGGGGACAGAAGAATCCATCCAGTGGTGTGGATGGCTCCTCTTGACTATGGCTGCTGGAATCTCTAGTGTCTGGTGTCTGCCTGGATGCGTTGCACTCGTCTGTCTCTTGGACATTGCTCCTGTCAAGGCCTTCAACGGTTTCCTCTAGTTTAGCTTTGGATTTCAGGTCTTTGTCGTCTTTCTCTGATTGTACTTCTTCCTGTGTTACCATAGTCAAGGAGGTGCCTTCGGCTGCCTTGGAGTCAGATATAGATACTGCATTGAGACGGGTGTTGATCTGAAGCAAAGACTCATCCTCGCTGAAGAGCAGCTTCAGGCGTTCTGTTCTGTCCATCTCGAAGCTTTGATTAGGATAGCTGTCACGATTGAAGGGGACAAGCGAGCTGGTAGAAGAAGTGTTGATATCTCGGAGGGAGGAGCAATTGTAAGGGCAAAGTTGGGAAGATAGGAGTGTTTGTCCTACGAGGACAAGCAAACAAGTCCATGTTAGTGACCACGACCCAATACATGATCCCTATTACCTTGCCCAGATATCAGTGAATAAGGAGAACATCAGTCAGCTATTGTCTCTCTTGTCTCATGGGAGATCGTCTTCACTCTTCTCACGAGTCTCATAACCAAGATGCTATCAGTCTATCATCTCGCCATTGGCTTCACTTGCTTCGCCTTCATTCTCTATTGTTCTATCAAATTTCTCAACCTTAACAATAGTTTCAACACTTGACAGCTCTATTGACCTGGAGGGTATCACTAGACTTGGAAAGTTGGACTCTTCGTTTTCATTATGGGTCGAGATATATAATCCTGACAACGCTAGAGGACACAAAACCGATACCTCTATCTACCACGCAACGTCAATCCTGTCGGCTGAGAGCATATCATGCACTACCAGTCCAGAAGTAAATTGATTGAAGTGATTCCATTTCCTCGTTGATATGGGAAGACCGTTTGTTGACAATCGGCGACGGCGAGATGCAAGAGGTAAATATAGTGCACGGAACAATATTTCCCCGATGACCGATCAACAACATTGCCAGACCGCGGCTGATCAATCACGGTCGTGGCCAACAACGCCTCATCAATCTCTCGTCTTTGTGCCCGTTGCGCATCTTTCCGAACTGAGATTGTCGATCGCAAGTGACTTTGGGTCTCATTCGAAAGCTACATTCCATGCATCTGCCTTGATCACTACCTTCATGGCTACACGGATGGTGCCACCCACCTAGCCCCCTACTCTACCGCGTGCCCTGTCTAGCTTGCATTTGTCGCTACCGTCTCCTCGAATCTTCGTTGTCTTCCTAGCTTCAGAGGGAAGCCATGGTTATGCCAGACTATAACGATGAAGACGGTGGCGTCATTCTCGACGGTCCCTTTGACCCCGATGCGCAGGCCACCGTTACCGACTTCATAGATTACACCGAATACCTCCCCGCCGACCTCATCCGTTCCCTCACTCTCATACGTGGCTTGGACGAGCGCTACCTCGAGGGTACACAGAATGTTCACGAACTCACCAAGACGTGGGGCCAGCTCCCCGACCTCCCCTCCCACGAGCGCCCAGACGCGCAGACGCTCCGCAAGAACATCTCGGCGCAACTTGATCAAGCGATCAACGCGCGCGAATCCGCCTATGCCGAAGCGTGTCGCCTCTACGACGTCGTCGATCGACACTTCAACCGGCTGGAGTGCATCAAGCAGAAACTCCATGCCCTGCCGAAACCGGAGTCACGCGAACCTACACCTCCGGAGACCCAGACTACGCTTAATAAGCGAGGCCGATCCTCAAAGAAGGGTGAGGCCGCTGCTGCGCCGACGACAACGCGCATAAAATTACGGCTTGACGGTGCGGCACGTGCAGGGGCAAGACCAGAACAAAGGTCGAGGAGTCGGCGGGGTAAGCTTGCTGCGGATCACCTCTCCGGCCTGCATCCGGACTCCCCGATCGCTAGCACCGAGCACTCTGATGTGGAGGCTGGAACGAAACCGACTCGCACGGCTGCGCCCGAAGAGCCCGCGGCCGCGAAGGGCAAAAAGGAGAAACAGGCTCGTCGATCACGGACCTCCGCTCCACTTACGAACTGTCATGGCCATGGCGCTGCGATGTCGACCAGCAATGCCCTGGCAATGCTCAAGCCCCCACCGGAGGATGCCAAACCTGGCAGTGAAGATTTGCCCTGGCTGCGCTTGACTGAATGGGAGATGACTAAACTGCGCAAGAAGATGAAGAAGAACGCCGTCTGGCAACCGAGTGAGGTCATGATTCACCGCGAACTCGCTCTCCGGGGGCGAGGGTGGGACGCCTATCGGCAAGCCAAAGCGGAAGCAGAAGCCAATGGCACCGAGTTTCTTGACTGCGACGATATCATGAACAATTTTGTCCCGGGAATGTTGACGCGGCTCAGCGATGCGAACGGCATCGAGGGCGTGATGGAGACCAAGTTGAGCAATCGTGGAATGAAACTCAACGAGGCGAAGAAACTCAAGCGTGAAAACATGGCCAGGGAACAAGCGGCCGCCGCAGCCGCGGCAGCGGCTGAGGCCAAACGTGTTGGCGAGTCTGGAGCTACAGACGTAGCAGCTCCGGACCAATCCCAGGTGGAGTCATCCTTGGCCGCTCGGAAGCCAAGTAGAGCCTCGAAAAAGAGAAAGCTGGATGAAAGTGTAGCCGCGGAAACTGCACCCGCTCCCCCAGTAGACTCTGAAACTCGTGGTTCTCTACGAAGCTCAGCAAAGCGCCGTAAAATGAGCAAGACGCCTGTGGAGGACAATGAGGCCGTGGCCGACGAGACGGCTGATCACGCAGTGATCGTCGAGACTGAAAAGGCCTCCCCCGTACCATCAGCGGCCAGCACAGCAGCGGTAGCCCCACCCAAAGAAGCCAAAACCTCGACCCCGCCCGTCAGCCGACCTCCTTCCCGGCACCTTGCGCCTGGTGCATCGGCGGAAGTAGCTGCTCTTGCTGGCAAAGATCTCCGTCGGAAGAGTGCCACGCCTGCAAGGAAGACTCCTGTCCCGGAAGGGGCTCAGGCTGCCGGTCGTCGCAGAAAGCG